GGCGCATTTTTGACTTGTAGTGTTGGCGAAGTGCCACTGCTACTATGAGCACGAATCGAAGAAGCAATCTCGGCCAGTACGGAACCAATCATCCTATTCGACCGTTACCAGTCACTTAGGTGGTCATCTAAAAGATCATTTTAGAACGGAGCATATTCACATTCGCATTTCATTGTATTTACATTCACTGCACATGCAATCAAAGGCCACCACAACGAGTGGAGATCAATTGCGTGGCGCATTTCTGGAAGTTGAGACAGAACCGAGCTCGAGCTGCTTGCAAAACAGCATGAGGACAGGATTGTGGAGATCTTGATCCTCCTAGGGATTCTACTTGCAGTTATTTTCAAGTTCACCCGATAGGGAGCTTACCCGAAGTTTTGACAATCATTTATTGACATACCGGTAATCATGAGAGTAAGTACCGGTGCGCTAATATCTGATTTATGAAATTACCAAGGACTCCAACTCGTCCATGCAGTGGGACGAGTGTAAGTGAAGAATTTTTCTACAGAAATTAATTGCTTTTCAGACAGCACGCCATCACCCACATCTGAAGGTCCTGTTTGCCATAGGTGGCTGGGAAAATTCACAATATTTCTCGCTACTCACTGCGGATCATCCTCGAAGGTTTGCGCTTTCAGTCAGATTAAAAATTTGCTCTGGAAGTCGTTGTAAAAACACGAGTCATTTCAGGACGATTTTGATCAACAAAATTGTCGACGTCGTTCTAAAATATGGATTCGATGGAGTCGATTTGGATTGGGAATATCCTGTGACAGGAGGATCTGTTGAAGGCACTCCGGTAAGATTTTCAAGAACACGTGCTCAGATTTCTCATTTTTCTCCTAAGCCAGGGTAGGGAGTGTGCACAGCGATGGGACTGGGGTTATACTTAAGGAGGGCAAAATCTGGTAACTGACCACAAGTGCAAGTTCCGAACCGGTTCCCTTCTTGGACAAACGCAAAAGAACTGGGAGGATATGTTGACAAAGAAGTACTGTATGAAAGCGAACCAGCCTACCCTATTGAGTTTGCAGATAGCCAGTCCGAAATGGAGGGGATGGAGTAGTCCCGTTCGGGTTGGGAGAGTTGGTTGGATGCTTTTTACTAGATTTCACCGACTACATATTTGCGCTATCAGGGCCAGGGAACTAATTGAAACCAGTCTTCAGTAACTGTCCGGGTAAACGAGGAATATGGAGTGTCGCCTGCCTGTCTGTTCCCTATGAGTGAGCTTCTGATCAGGTGCCTATGGCCCTCGAATTCCACTTTTTTCTACAAATGGGTCGAGCTGTTCCCATGGAATGATTAGCATTCTTGATAGGCCGATCGGAGGAACTATGTGCACCTGATGAGGGAACTACGAAACAGATTCAGAGAACTCGAGGAACAGAACAACAAACGGACAGGATATCTGATCTCATTTGCGGGAGCTGCCGGTCATTGGGTGCTAAAACCTGGTAAGATTTTAAATTTTAAGTTTTTAGATGCCCTAAATTCAGTCCGCCTAATAAGAGTTGGGGCATTCGAGATTGAGCGGATTACACTTGACCGAGCTACCTTTTTCGAAAAGTCAAGCCCTTTTTTAGAGTGTGCCACATGTTCGAGGCCTAGTTGCGATCTTTCGGGACTGAATTTGCATACTGCCTATACGAGAACAAACTAAAGCAAGAACCTATGTCTGTCCACTCACATTCAGTCAATTCTGATAGCATCTGGCTGTCCCGAGGGGAATGGGTGCCCGGTTGATTCCGAAAGGGTTTCAATCCTGGATCAATTGCACAGCATTCGCCGAGCACCTTGATTTCAGTATGCTTGAATTACGTCTTAACAAATTAAAATCAATCGTATTCAGGCTACGACCTCGTTCAGCTGGTTAAATATGCTGATTTCGTGAACGTAATGTCATACGACTATTTCGGTGCATGGCAATCGAAATGGGGTGCATTCACCGGTCCACCAGCACCACTTCATTTCGCTACACCACCAAAGTACGATAATTGAGACATCTACTTCTACAAATAGCTAAGCAAATAGCATATAGCGAAAGTCATTTCGTTCTGTTCAGATTCTCTGGCCGAATGAATGTGCATGCTACCATGAAGTACTACAGTTGCCAAATCAAAGCCACTAACAAGGTATGTACTTTTTCTGAAAAAAAAAATCTGAACAGCCGTAAATCAGGTACTGCTTTGTCTGCACATCTCTTCCTTCTCGGCCTAGTTGCAATTCCATTCTTAGAAAGTAATTGAGGTCAGAGAAGAAGTTTGAATCAGCTCCCCC